TCAGAGGCGCCTCCCTTCTTAGGGATGAGGGCAATGAATGAGGCATTTAGCGACTTCTCAAAGACGCCAGTAGAATCAAACTCCTGAAAGGTACCCATCACCTCATTTCTCACTACCGCCCAACTTTCCATCAGAAAACGCATAGTAAACCCGTCAGGCCTCGGAGCTTTGTCCCCATTACAACTTGATAAGGCCTTTAGAACTTCTTCTTCAGTAAAAGGAGTCTCAAGCCCGTCTCTATCAAACTCAGAAATGGCCTCAAAAGGGAGACCATCGAGTTTGGGTCTCCAAGCTAATGGCTCCGTGTAAAGCTTTTGATAGAAAGAAACGATCCCATTACGCACCTCTTTCTCCCTCTACAGTTCCACACCTTCCACCCGAATACGTCCTATATGGTTACTCCTATGAGCATTAGCTAATCTGTGAAATTTTTTTGTGTTACGATCTCCCTTGTTCAACCAAAGAGCCCGGGATTTTTGTCGCCATGAAATCTCCTCCATGCAGCAATCTCAGTAAGAACTACCTGACAGGATGCTCTCCTAGTACATAGAGATTCCACATCCCCACCCGCCTCCTCAAGACGATCAATCTCGGAAAATTCAGCAAGGACTCTATTTTTCCTCTATTCAAGATTCCCAAAAACATCCTTATTCCATTGCTTAAGATCGAATTTGAGAGCTCTCAACTTCTTTGTTAACATGAAGCTGGGCGCACTTGTAACAATTGCTCCCTCCCACTAAGAAGGAACTTTCCCTTGGAAGTCCTCCGCTCTCAACCACATACTCTCAAATCGGAACGGGGTTCTTCGAGAACACAAACCCGCCACAATCCAAAACCAAAGGAACATGATTAGAGGTGACCCTTGCTAAAACCGCCTGAACAACATCCGGGAATTTCTCCTCCCACTCCCTAGAGATAAAAAATCTATCCAATCTTGAAAGAGTGATTGGATCCCTGCCATTAGACCAAGTGTAGGCTGCACCTTCCATTGGTAGATCAATGAGAAAATGCTCATCAATAAAGTCAGAAAACTGATCAATTTCTGAAGATCTCCTTCCTCCTATAGACCTCTCTAACAGGGACCAGACAGAATTGAAATCTCCACCCAAACACCAAGGTAGAGACCACAATCCCTGAACATGGCAAAGCTCCACCCAGAAAATAGGTCTCTCATTATCAACAACCGGTCCATAGACCCCAGTAAATAACTATCTAAAATTATCCTCTTTCATCTTAAACACACAGGAAACGGAAAATCTCCCCATCCAAACATCCATTCTAGACAACCATCTGTTGTCCCACATAACTAAAACTCCACCCGAAGTACCTATAGCATCCAAGGCTTCCCATTCCACAAACCTTCCTCCCCACAAACTCCTAACCACCCCGTCAGAAATGGATGCTAACTTGGTTTCTTGCAAATAAACAACCTGGCCCCCATTTCCTTAAAGCTACCTTCACCACCCTCCTCTTATTCGGGTCATCTAGACCACGAACATTCCAAGTAATAATTCGTAGCCTCCCCTCCCCCCTTTTTTAAACTCCTACTCTTGGTCCTTCCCCTTTCCTTCACCACCCCTTTCTTCCCTTCATAGTTAACATAAGAGATAAGGTTCTAAACCTCCTGTGCCCCTTTCCAGGACGATAAAGGCCTGGTGTTCATAACCTCATTAGTCACTGCAAGCTCTCTTCCTTCCACTATAGCTTGAAGAATAGATAAAGTCTGATCGTTATTACCCTCTGATGAGACACCCAACATCTTGCTAGTGACTCCTATTATCAACCACCCAGTCCTTTCCCATATCTGCATCCATGCCAGAAGAGCCAGGTCGCATAACAGCCGAAGGTACCACATCAGAACATTCATTCTCCAGCCAAGGGTCTAGCTCATTAGAGTAAACCTGTGGGATGGAACCAATATCATCATCATCTTCAGTATCTCTTCCACTCTCAAACACCGTCATATTATGGAGGTGACTCATTTTCTTCTAATTGGGATGGTAGTGCCGAAAAGTTATTGGGCTGATGTAACCTTAACAACTGCATACCTTATCAATCGCATTCCTTCTAGGGTTCTTGTTTATCAATCCTCCTTCTCCGTCTTACATCGTCATTCTGCCTTATTTACTATCCCTTCAAAAGTGTTTGGTTGTGTTTTATTATGTTCACATTCATCATCGCAAGGACATAATGGACCCTAAGGCAATCCGATGCGTCTTTGTTGGATACTCCGGCACTCAAAAAGGGTATCGGTGTTATAACCCTACCACTCATCGTCGATTTGTCTCCGTGGATGTTACATTCTTTAAGTCTGTTCCTTTTTTTTTTTCACTGCTCGAGATTTTCTACAGGAGGAGACTACTATTCATGTAAAGAATCCGTCGTTCATTCTAAGGGAATGCCCCCTTCCTTGCATGTTCCCATTCAGGGGGAGCTTCTTACTGATGTGCCTATGTGTACTCCTCCTAACACTAATGTTTTCCAACTCGGAAAGCAACTAAATTGTCTATATTAGGAGGGCAAAACAAGTCATTGAGTCACCCCGGGACCAAGAAGTCTCCCTCGATCCAGGTAATCCCTCAATTGACATTGATACTCCTGATTCTATTCCCAATAGCATTCATGTTGATCTTGATGCCCCGATTGCCTATCATAAGGGTGTTCATAGTTGTACAAAACATCCCATATCTCAGTTTGTATCCTATGATAAGGAAGATTTCAACAATTGGTTAGGAGACTGATTTACCTATCTCTTACGCGCTCGGATATTGCGTACGCTGTTAGTATGATTAGTCAGTTTATGCATGCTCCACGTACACCTTACCTTGAAGCAGCTCATCATGTTCTTTGTTGCCTCAAGGGTTCACCTGGTAAGGGGATATTGTTTGGCCGTCATGGCCACTTGCGTGTTGAGGCCTATATTGATGCTGATTGGGCAGGGTCTGTGACAGATCGACAATTTACTTCAGGATATTACACATTTGTTGGAGGTAATCTTGTTTCATGGCAAAGCAAGAAACATTCCACAGTAGCAAGATCTAGTGCAGAGGCTGATTTCAGATCCATGGCACATGGAGTTTGTGAGTTATGATTACGAACTATGTTGGATGAGTTGGGTTATCCTTTTTGCGAGTCAATGAATTTGTATTGTGACAATAAGACTGCTATTAGCATTGCCCACAATCCAATTCAACATGATAGGACAAAGCATATTGAAGTCGATCGACACTTCATCAAAGGAAAAGCTTCGTCTTGGGCTGATTTGTACTCCATACGTCAATACACATGATCAAGTTGCTGATGTTTTGATTAAGGGTGTGAGCAAGACTTGCTTGCAAAATATGTTAGCCAAGTTGGGCATGATAGATATCTTTTCACCAACTTGAGGGGGAGTGTTGTCATGGGCATATTTGTTATTACTTATATAATGTTGGGTGCTTATATGAAATTTTCGAAACTTGTTAGCTATGTTACATGGACTCTTCAAAAGTAATGAAGTACTCGTGTCGGACACATATTGCTTGAACATGTGTATGGGATATGTGTCCGACACTTTTGGGTGGACATGTAGCTAAAACCATATCCAATCATTCACTTATATAATATTATTAATTTAAAATGAGTGAAATGCCTATATTGAACACTATATTAAATTAAAACATTACTTTACTCTAGAAAATAAAATAAAATGAATATTTAGTAGTGTCCATGTGTTCTTCTGTTTAGAAATTTGACAAGTTCGACGCATGGATACATACCCGAGTTCGACACACATACCCAAGTCCAAGGAATATAGCTTGTTAGTATAAATAGAATGTGGTGGAAGGATGAAAGTATTCCTTCATTCTCTCTCTCTTTCCCCATCTCTCTCTCTTTTCTTTCCTCCTCTTTCTTCTCTTCTTCATCTTCTTCTACACTCTCATCATGCCATTCCGTATTATTATCTCTTATAGTCAACTCTCTCATCATGCCATTTCGCTATTTTTATAGAAGTCTAGGCATGTGCCTAGGATGAGGGATATTCAATATGGCACAAAGTGATTCTGCTATTGGGATTTAATTTAGGGATTTGATCTTATTTTCATCATCTGCGCTTATGTTAGAGGCATAGGATCAGTGATTTGATATACTTACCATTTATGTAATGCTGAACTTGTAGTATAATTATGAGTGGCTAATGAGATCATTAGCTGATTACAGCCTTTCACATTCAACTTGGTATCAGAGCCAAGTTCACAACCCACCCCTGCTAAATTTTCAGTTTTACCAAATAGCATCTTAAGTCTTTCAAGTGCTTTTTTGTGGTTAGGGTTTAGCTCACTCTGCTTTGTGCTTTTGTAGTTGTATAACATGATGTACTTTCTTGTCTAAGAAGAAGGAAAATATACTTTTGAGTAAAAAAACATATATATAAGCAATACAGTTAGAGCCTTGTATTTACTTTTTATTGTTTTATTATGTTTTTTCTCTTCCTATGTTGATATTAGCTATCATAACAAGAATGATGAGGCTTAAGGCTTAAATTAAGCCTTTTGATTCAATGCTTGTGCTTTGTAAATCCAGAGATGCTAACATTACGGTGTTTAAACTCAAATACTCAACTAGAAAGTTGACTGAATAGAGTTAGCTCAGCAATTTGACTCAAATAGAAACAACTTGAATCAGTAGATATAACTAAAATATATGTATTGTGAAATCATTTACGTTCAGATATGCTATTCAAATTTGGTTGAGATTCAACTTTACTTGGTCAGTTTAATTGTAACAATTTAGAAGTTTCAAATAAATATAGTTCCTTCTGAGTTAGCTAATCAAGTTGATTCCATCTAATCCTGAAGCAACCAAAGGTTTTGAGCAGTCAGACTTTAAGATCTTACAATGTGCAATCTTGTAACTATATGCAATTCTCAAATCTTTCGAATGGCAGTAACATCATTTAAGATGAACCAGAATAGATCACTTTTAATATTATGCTGCTGTTCGAATTTTGAAAGCCTTACCTTCATGTTTTATTTCACAGACTGGGCTGCAAGGAGAACATCTAAGTATATACAAAGCAGATGGTTTGAATAACGTAAACTGGGTATCAACTTCAGAACCACCAGAAAAACAGCCTCTTGCATGGTACAAGGTAAACCTCTGGAGATCACTTTTTAACTCTGCATACCGAAATGTAAAGCTGGTTATCTTTTCTGAAACTGAATTCTTTTGGTCACAACTATCAGTGTCACATAAGATGTAAAATAATTACTTGGACTCTTGCAGGCGGTTGTGGATGCCCCACCTGGAGATGAGCCTATTGGATTGGATATGATTCATATGGGGAAAGGCCTAGCTTGGTTGAATGGTGAAGAAGTTGGAAGATACTGGCCTAGAAAAGCCTCTACACATGAAGCGTGTGTTGATAAATGCGATTATAGAGGCAAATTCAGTCCAAACAAATGCAGCACAGGATGTGGAGAGCCAACACAAAGATGGTAAAGCTACAAGAAAAAACCAAAAGAATGAAAAGAATGAATTAAGAATAAAATATAGGAAAAAATAATTCACATGTTGTCCACTCTTCCTTTTTTATTGCACCAGAGGGCAACTGCATGGTATGTTCTTTAAAAAACTGCAATTACCAACTGATTTAATTAAAACGCTAATGGAAATGATCTGATGAATAGCTTTCTAAATTTTTAGATAGTTTGGATCACTCATCGGTATTCAAGAGTTGGTAATGATTAGTACTGAAACAAGCATATAAATATAACATTTTTTTTTTTTTTTTTAATAAAACAAATGGCATTCTTGTCTGGAACTGGAACATGTGTTAGGTTCTAGAACTTTGTGCCTTCTGAACACTTTATAACCCATTATAAATACAGTGGGAATATTTTATTTAATTAATTAATTTAGTTATTTTGTGTAGCTGCTAGCGCCTTGCTCTTATGCCATCTGTAGTCATGGTTTAGGCTTTGGATTTGAAGTTTGTTGAATATCCAACTTGTTGCTGGGATTTTTTGTGTTAAGGGGTTTGCCTTCTTTTTGAGTAGCCTGAATATTTGGCTTTTTCTTGTTGTGTACTTTTGCTTATTTTTTACTAATCTTACTTTTTGTGGTCAAAAAAGCAAAAGAAAAAAGATAATCCAATTTCGCGTCCTTTGGTGAATAAAATGGTAAGAAGTAACTAGTTTTCTCAATCATGGTTTTTAGTGGAAAATGAATGGCAATCTTTTGAGTTTAAGGTAGACACGTTTTGACGTACGAAGAGTTCCATAAAGTTTCTATAGAGTACACCATTGCTTGTCTTGAGGCATCCTGCCTTTGCTTTCATCAGTTCTTGAGTCATTTTCAGCTATTATGTCTTCATGTTCAACATTTCAGTTCACATTAATACTCGAGGAAAAGGTAAATTGCATGTCAGGACAAAAAAATAAGTCTTTATTTTTATTTTTTTTAGTTTTTGGAGTAATTGAAAGTTCAAATTCTTTTGTATGGATTAGGTACCATGTTCCACGATCTTGGTTTAAGCCATCTGGGAACATCCTGGTGATCTTTGAGGAGATTGGGGGAGATCCAACTCAGATTAGATTCTCGAGACGGAAAATCAAGGGTGTCTGTGCTCTTGTTTCAGAGGATCATCCATCATTTGAACTGGAACCTCGGCTTGAAGACAAAGCAACTGTTACTCTCAAGTGCCCCAGGAACAGTCGCATTTCCTCTGTCAAATTTGCCAGCTTTGGAACTCCCACTGGAATGTGCGGGTCCTACACCAAGGGAGATTGCCATGATCCTGATTCCACTTCTGTGGTTGAAAAGGTAAGCAATGCTAACTATGTGATTTGTAATGTTTTTGGCATCTATTGTTCTTTTTTTCTTCTCTTTCTTTTTATTTTATGTTTGTGTTTTTGGCATCTATTGTTCATGTCATTCAATAATTAAAAAAATAAACTCCGGTTACCTGAGAAAGAGCCATGTTAAATTCATTTATACCTTCATAATAAAAATATGCGTGCTACACAAAATTCACAAATCCAATTCCTTGGTGGAATATAATTTCCATTATGCAAGACCAGACACCAGAGGTACTATAGATGTTTTTCTTTTTTATTCATTTTATCTTTTTTAAATTCTTCTATAAATCCATGACCTGAACGCCCTTTTTGGCGTAAAGCATTTCTAGTAATAATTTACTTCAATATAGCCTCTTATGCTCCGTTTGGTAGGAGGGAAATTTTTAGGATAAAAGAGATAGAAGAAGAGATGAATGAAACATCCCTAGGGAAGAGATTGTGTCCTTTCCTCTTTTCGTTTGGTTGGATAGAAGAGAAGAGAATAAGACGTCTTATTTTGTTTGTTAGGAAAGAAGAAAAAAAAAATGGCTAATTATAAGGAAATTTTTGTAATTTAAAAACATTTATAATAGCCTTGCCTTTCTTCCTTGGTGTCTTCCCTCCATATTTGGAGGGATGAAAATTTATGAAGGAAGAAGGATGACACATCCATCCTCTTGCCTCCTCTTTACTAAACGAAGGAAGTTTGTTTCTTCTTTCCTATTTTCCCTCCACCCCTCTACTTTCCTATCAAACAGAGCATTAGTGTTCTAGATCTTGCAAATACAAGTCTTTTCTTTCCCGAACTATCTTTGTACTCGTGTAATTTTTCTGACAAGCTTAAACATCATTGCAGGTTTGCCTAAATAAAAAAGAGTGCGCCGTCGAACTTACAGAACAAAATTTTAATAAGGGGTCGTGTTCCAGCACAGAAAAGAAACTTGCTGTTGAAGTGGTTTGCGGCTGAAGTTCGGAGTGCCAGGAGATTACCACGCGCAGACAATTAAATTGTTTACATTTTCAAAAGATTTTGTTTATTTTTGTTGTTCTTGTTCTTGTTCTTACTATTATTATTATTTTTACATATGTAGCAGGAAAGTCTGCTTATATTGTCAAATTTTTTTTTCCCCTTCAAATGACTACCATATGATTGAGTGATTGAAAATATTAAAGATATTCTCAACAAAAAAGTTGCAAGGATAAATTTTCAAATTTGGTCACCACCTTGATTTCTAGTCCGAGAATGGGTGTAAATTTTTTTTTTACTAGTTATTTAGTTAGCATAATGGCTAAGGTTTACTGAAATTTATATTAGAATAAAACTAATGAGAAAATGATATTAATGTTGCCCAATAGGCCAAGTAACCCAACTAAATTCACCCCTATAATATTAGGTCCCAAAAAAAAAAAAAAAACGAAAAAGAAGAAAAAAAGTTATTGGACATATTTTGTTGTTAAAAATTTCTAGCTAAACTAAAATTGTCTGGAATTGACAAGTACTAGCTAGTTTGTCATTTATCTTCTCTTATCTTTTTTATATTTGTGATTTGATAACTTATTTCATTATCTATCTTAGTGGACAATTACATAAGTTGTTTATATCATTGCATAATTATAAACAGAAAATTAGTCATTGTTTGCCATAGACTCTATTCAATCCCCTTTTAGAGTCAATACTTGAGTAACAATATATGTATATGTGTGTGTGTGTATGTGTATATATAAAAATTTGTTCACTAACATGTTCACGAACAAACAAGTCAAGCAGGAGGTGTTTGATCTTGGTTCGTTTATTAATCGAGTTTAGAATTTGTTCACTAAAATTTTTATTTGAGTTTGGTTCATTTATTAAACAAACGATTACGAAACGAGCTTTTATCGAGCCAAGCTCAAATTGTTCGGCGATACATTCCATTTTGTTCAAGAATTGAGACAACCTTAATAAATATTAATTACGGATTTGTGCACTGAAATATGAAAAAAAAAAAAAATGGCATTGAAATGCAGATATAATTTCAATGGTGAAGTAGCATATGGAGAAAGAAGTTAATAAAAGACTCTGCAGAAGAAATGGAAATCACTTTATTCAGTTCCATAGAAAGCGAGGAAGGTTGCTCCAAAAGTCACTACAGCGGTGATTTAGTCAAGTTTAGAACCAGTCAAAGTGAATGAAGCCATACACATGCATAACATAAAAGAAGTACTTCCTTCGTCTCATAAAAAGTGTTACTTTTGGATAATTGTAATTCTCACAAATTAAACTGACACAATTTTTCAAAAACAACACTTTTGTTTTTTTGGCACGGTAGTACATTGGAGTTGGCAAAGAAAAAGAAATCAGGCAAAAGCAGCTAATTTCGGCTTCGGAGGATTAACCAAACAAATATCAAGGAGTTGATCTACAGAAGTATATTTGTAGTCGGGATAGAGTCTGGAGGCTTCCAAATCATCCTCTGTGAGTTCAAAGCTCACCTGCTCCCCTTTTATAAATATGTTGTGGAGTATTCCCACCGGTATGTTGCCCGGATACGGTAAGGCTGCAACCGCCAGGCCAATAAAAAAAATAAAAAATAAAAAAATAAATAATAATAATAATAATAATTATTATTATTAATTATATAAGTTTTATGCCGTATTTGGGAACACGAAATCGGCTTCTTAGAACTGGAACTTCTATCGGAATAAATTTTAGTTCATGATAGGAGAAAATTCCAATTTTACTTTCGAGACAACAATTTAGCACTCCCAAACATGACATAACTTTATTGTTTGCTTCTCCGCAAAATGGAAGTGAACTATAAGATAGTACTGAATTGAGAGGGATTTGAAAAAATTGTTACTCTCAGATAGTTTGATGATGTCTTCCTCAGGAATATGAGTTGTTTTGAAGGAGCGTCCAGTCTTCTTCTCCCAAGAAGAAACCAAATCTAATTGGGAGACAATGTTTGCTGGGGGTCTATAGACGATGACACGATTGGACACTCTTGGATCTATAGCTGCTTTCACCGTATAGGCTGCTACATCTTCTTCGTAGTTTAACACAGCTGCATGCATGCACATTTTATATAATTAAGATATATATGCTTATTTTCACACAAGCCACGGATCTATATATTTATAATGAATTTTAAAAAGAAAGAAAGAAAAATCTCATAATTTGGGAACATTTTTATTTTTATTTTTATTTTTTATGCATTAAATTTTACTTTAGATTTTAATCCCAATAGGTTGGCCTAATTGGAAAAGACATTGGTCCTGCTATCTCATGAAACATTAAGTTTCAAGATCGATTTCTTATTGGCGCCCGCGAATATAATCCGAGCTTTATCCGATCTATGATGGGGGCATCTTGCACGAATTATGTGGATTAGTTTGCCCTGGACATCCCGATTATTGAAAAAAATAAAAAATTAGTAGTGTTGAAAGAGGGACGAGTGAGGAATTTGGGTAGAGTATTGAGTGTTTAGGTCAAATTTGAGTTTTATTTCAAATGTGTTTGGAAAGAGGGACAAGTAAGGAATTTGTCTTATCCTTGTGAGCCAACTTGAAAAAAAAATAAAAAAATTGATCCACTTCGGATATGGCTCAACGGTTTACTCGCTAGACTTTGGAGCTTAGCAAACTCAAGGTCTGGGGTTCGAGTTCCGCTGGGTGTTCTTTGTGACTAGCTTCTGCTGTCCCTGTAATGACTTATCCGGCCTGAGTGAGAAGGTGCCCTTCTGGATTTTCGGAAATTAGTCGAGTTGTTGAGGGTGCCATCCCGGACATCCTGGGTTAATAAATATATATATATATATGTATATATATATATATATATAATTCTTGTACTCTTTTTACCTATTTTGTTTTGTTAATACAAATCCTTTTAGGAAGAAAAAAGAAATATAAAACTTCAATGTTAACTGGAGTAGGAAAAGAAAAGAAAAGAAAAGTAAAGTAAGGGGAGAGAATAATTATAATCTTACGAACTTGCAATACAGAAAATTACAAGTAATTAGAAGTCGAAACCCCTCTTTTTGGATCTCTCTCTCACTCAAAGTCCGAACAGAAAAATTAATGACTTTTTTTATTTTTTGAATTAAAGTAAAAGTGTTTATTTTTATTTTTTATTTTGAGTGGGATTGAACAAGGAAAAGATTGAGTGGGGCCGCCACTCTTTGAAAATGATAAAACAAGGGTAAATTATATGACTCATGAAGTTTGAACAAATTATTAATGGGTAAACTGTTCAATAAGATCGTTTTATTATTATTATTATTATTTTTCAAATGGCATTTAATAACTTAGATGTTTCTAAGATTTGGCACAGGTGGTCAATAACACCCTTTTTCATTTTCTTTCCAACTAGTGATCAAATTTTATAAAATAACAATTTTACTTGTGTCTTATATAAAATACAAATATAACACAAAGACATTACTAACTTTCACACTTAAAATTTAAAATAATATAAAAAATTAAGTTTTATTTATTATTTTAAAACCTTACCATTCAACTTATTATTTTTTTTTGTTGAACAACACCTAAGTCTAAATGGAAACATTAATTTAACAAAAAAAAAAACCATAAATAAATAAAAATAAAAAAAACCTAAACTAGGAGAAAATTGATTGAGTGGTCAGGAATCAGGATCATGACATTACATGAACAATGAATGACACTTCATATGCAACTAAATTATAGAGGTCTACATTGATGTGGGGTCTACACACATGCATCCAAAAGACATGTTTTTTCATCTACCACCAAAATGATTCTGGCGGGCTACGTATTAGAGTCATATATCCTCAATTGACTCGAAACAATTCTCAGAGACCATGTAAATAATATCTAGATATATATAAAATAAAGATAGAGAATATATAAATGTAGAGAAGTTAATAACTAATTTTAATGTTAATTAATTTGCTAGAAAATGTTAGAAATGTTATATATATCTAGAAAATGTTAATTAATTAGCTAGAAAATGTTAGAAATATCTGGAGAAGTTAATAACTAATTTTAATGTTAATTAATTAGGTAGAAAATGTTAGAAATGTTATATATAGGTAGAAAATGTTACTTAAATACCTTTGGCTTCCCCAGTTCCATAAATAGTAAGTTGGTCAAGGTTTTGATTATGGGGATGAAGCAAGTAATCCACGAAATAGGCAGCAAATGAATTTGCAGAGACATAAGTGTAGCATATTCCAGCTGCTTCCGTTGCTCTCCTGATTTTCTTCTTGTTATCTAGCAGACCTTGGAATGGAGGTAGTGCACCTTTCACTCTATCAACTTCGTTTCCAAACTCTGATGGAACAAATCTCTGTGTGTGTATATATATATATATATATAACAACAAAATTAAATATACAAGCAATACGATTACTATATATATATGTGTGTGATAAAAGCGGCCGGAGAGCAACTTGCAATTGATATTCGATTACCTCTATGTTGCCAGCCTCTTTCATGGCGTTTATTATTTTGATTTGTTCAAGATGTTGAGGAACTGCAAGTGTAGAAATCACTACATCTACCTGTTTCAAGATTGAAACAAGCTTCTCGTGTTCACCCAATTCTCCCTGCATGTATTAAATGATCAAATTAAACACCCGGATACACACATGCATGTGTGTGTGTGTATATATATATATATATAAGGACAGGGGCGGCTCAATACAATTTGAGGCCTTAAGCGAAAAAAATAAAGTAACCTTTTAATTAAATCTATCCATATATTTATGCCAGCTAATTATTTATTTAGTAATTTTTAAACCGATTACTAAAAAATTACCAAACTCTAATTTCATCATTAATTAATTAGTTATGTGTTTTCTAATAGTCATATTTAACAATATAAATAAAATTTATAAAACTATAAACTAATTTAAGTTATAGAATAATAAAAACTGATTTCGAATAATTTGGTTTAATGCTCCAATAAATTCTTTAATAAAATATAAGTGTGTTCAAAATCTTCTTTTGGAGTGAGATTGCGAGATTGTAAATTGTAACCGTGGAGAAGATGAAAAAACAAAATTTATAACGAGAGAGGAGAAAAAATATGTGAGGATTAAGAAAAAAAAGAGAAAATAAAAATTAATAGAAGTCTTTGAAAAATATAGAAAGTTTCATCAATTTTCACTTAAATATATATTTAATATTTAATTTTAATGTGTGTGCATATATATGCTGATGTAATGAGGATGAAAAAAAAAAAAAAAAAGATAATACAAGGATAGAAATATTTTGCAGACTATTAAATTTTGTATTTGTTGAGGTGTAATGATATAAGAAAATAAAATATTTAGGTAAGTTATAATATATATAAAAAAAAAAATTGGGGTTCCTCAAAAAAAGATAAAGAATATAAATTTTTTAGGTCAATTATCAAATTTCTCTATACGTTAAAGTTTAATAATTAAAGAAAATACTATAATTGTATTTAGAAAAGTTATAATATATAAAGAAATAAAAAATTATAGAGCCTTCTTATTGGTTGGGGCCTTAAACAATCGCTTAACTCGCCTAAGGCTCGAGCCGGCCCTGTATAAGGGTTAGCTAGTTCTGTGCATGAGAGTCCTCTAAGAGAGTCCAATGAATGCAATCTTATTAGAGAGATTATTTTTGATTTTGAATCACGACTTTCAAATCACAATAGAACAATTTTTAGCATTGCATTATATATATATATATATATATATAAAAGGGACGTCGATTCCATTACAGGATCTATACTCGTCAGATGTATGTAAACCTATTGTACAAAAATAACCGTCACAATAGAGCAACCTTGTCATCAAGTCCGATCCTTTAGAGAGATCGAGATGCTAATTTTTCAAATGGCATTCAATATATGATAGGGTAGTACTAGTGACATGCAAGTCACATGTACACACACAAACACAAAAAAATATATGATAGAGCAACCATTACGGGATCCGTACGTACCTCTACCGTAGAGCAACCTTGTCACCAAGGCTGGCCCTTTATATATATATATATATATATATATATATATATATGATAGAGTAGTACTAGTGACATGCAAGTCACATATACACACACAAACACAAAAGTTGTTATATATATATATACTTGGAAGATGGTGACTCCCATGGATTGAAATTGGTTGTGCAGCTGAAGCTTGGGATCGGAAGGATCGGAATTAGGTTTAAGTGGGCGGACGTAGGCGTAAGTTGGATGGCCCATGGAGACGCTTGCCTTCACCATGTACTTGCCAAGGTAGCCAGTAGCCCCGAAAATCAGTATCTTCTTGCTCTTTTCATAATCACCACCCATGATTATCACCTCCTCTATTAATTTCCTTCCTTATGTGCTTCACTACTCTCCTGACTCCCCTCACTATATATATGTATATTTGGGTGTGGCCTGCACTGGAAAATTAGCGAAGGTTGTGTATTTATATATAGCAATATTACCTAGGAAAAAGAGATATATATTTACAAACTTACACCATCTTGAAAGAAGACAAAGGGTAATATGAACAATACTAGTGGGGCTATTATGCATGTACTATGAAAAGACCGGTGGGGTTCAATTTGAACTAATACACAAATTTTAAAGAAAGAAGAAAATTAAGAACAGAAAAGTTTTTTTTCTTCTTCTTCTCAGAGTACGTGTATTGACTTCACAATATAGGCACTATTTAAATTAAGAGTACGATTCGAAATCAAAATCTCAAAAACTCACCTTCTGAATCTCTACCAACCTCGCCTATGTCCCTGAAGACAATAAAAAAAAAAAGGCAAAGTACAGAAAATCCCCATCGACTTGTACCATTTTCTAATAAATCCCCTTATCTATTTTTTTTTTTTACTACCCCCTTGACTTGTAGTCTTTTTCAATAAATTCCTTGTCTAATTTTTTACCAAAGAACCCCCATCAACTATCTGAAGGGAATAAAAAAGTTGATACTTAGACCAAAATGCCCTTTTATTTAAATCTTAATTCTTTCGAACTTCAAAAATTCATATCTCACAAATTGTACATTTAAAAATTGTAAATAATATATGCACGGAAAGCTTGTAAAATAAGGATTTCAAAAATATATCTAGAGAGAAATAGGCAATCTAAAAATCTACTCCAACAATATTATTTTATTTTAAAAAAATAAAATACTCGATGTATCTGTAAGAAAATTTTCAAAATTATTCATTTACATATGAAGCTAAATATAAAAAATTTTTTTTAGCCCCAACAGAGATCAATTTTATGAGATATTATATTTTGCGTCAAAGTATTTTCATTCTTTTATAGACTCACCATTAAAAAAAAACAAATGAATATTCGGTCTTTATTGGGGCTAATTTTTTTTTTTTATATATATTATGCTCCATATGAAAATGAATAATTGTGAAAATTTCCATGCAAATAACCCGAGTATTTTATAAAAAATAAAATAAAATAAGATTATTATAGTAGATTTTTAAATTGTCTATTTCTCTCTAGTTATGAAGTTTAGTTAAACAAATCTTATATTTATGGAACTCTTGTTTTATAAGCTTTCCGTGTATATATTATTTGCAATATTTGGATGTACGGTTTGTAAGATATGAATTTTTGAACTTCGAAAAAAATTAAGATTTAAATAAATGACATTTTTGTTCAAATATTAACTATTTTACCCCCCTAGAAAGTTGAGGGAGTTCTTTGGTAAAAAAATAGACGAGAGGGATTTATTGAAAAAGGCTATAAGTTTGAGGGGATTTTTTTATACTTTGCCCTTACAAAAAATTAAGAAGTGGATAATCCTTGTTATGAATTCCTCTTTTAGGCTAGAGATTTTCGACTAACGTCTTGGTTAGATTATTATGTTTGAATAAGAGATTTTTGTTTATTACTTTTAGATTAAAATCCTAAAAATATGATGGTCCACCTCTCAGGTTTCCTTAAATATTTAAGGATAAAGTACAGTCATACCTCCTAAAGTTTTACAAAAAGACACTCAGAGGAAACTTACTTTTTTTTTTAGACAAAGACACCCCAGACACCCCTGAAGGTTTAAAAATGGATAAAGACACCAGTTTACATGAAAAATTGACCAAATTACTCTTTGACTGTTTAGGAAACTTTTTTAACTTTACCATTTAATAAATTGGACCAATCTACCCTCATGAATAAATTATATATAAAAAAAAGTAAATTTTTTTTTTTTATTTTGTTCACTTTTGTTTTGGTTATTTACTTTATAAATGTCCCAACTTCTTAAAAATGTAGACGTCTAAAATGATTTTTTGATTCAATACATATATTTCAAATAAATTCTATTTTGTTATTACTTCTTTTCTTTTTCTTTTTTATTTTTAAATTAAGATGCTTAATTCTTTCATCTAAAAAAATTAAACCAATTTTTTTTCCTTAAAAATAAAAAATATGGGACCAGTATAACTTTATGCATCTTAACTTATATATCAAATATTATGCATTTCCCAATATAAAATAAAATAGGTATCAGTATAACTTTAAGCATGCCTTTGTTTTGTTTTGTTTTTTTTTTTTTTGCCCCTTTGTTTTATTATTTTTTCCCTTTGTTTTATTATTATTTTTTTTCCCTTTTATGTTGGGAAATGCATAATATTTGATATATAATTTAAGATGCATAAAGTTATACTGGTACCATATTTTTTATTTTTAAGAAAAATAGATTGGTTTAATATTTTTAGATGAAAGAATTAATCATCTTAATTTAAAAATAAAAAAGAAAAAGAAAAGAAGTAATAACAAAATATAATTTATTTGAAATATATGTATTGGATCAAAAAATCATTTTAGACGTCTACATTTTTAAGAAGTTGGGACATTTATAAAGTAAATAACAAAAAAAAAAAAAAAAAAAACAAAAGTGAACAATATAAAGTTTTTTTTTTTGTTACTTTTTTTTTTTTATGCATAAATTGTTCATGAGGGTAGATTCGTTTAATTTATTAAATTGTAAAGTTAAAAAAGTTTCCTAAACGGTCAAAGGGTAATTTGGTCAATTTCTCATGTAAAGGGGTATCTTTGTCTATTTTTAAACCTTCAGGGAGTGTCTTTGTCCAAAAAATAGGTAAGTTTCATCTTAGTATCCTTTTACCAAATCTTAGGGGGTGTGACTGTACTTTACCTAATATTTAACCCTGACCACCTTCCATTAAAGTCAAGTCAAACAAAAAATTGTCCAAAGTACCCTCTCAGAAGTAGCACATTTACAAAATTAACCTCATCAGTCAAGTAAAATCACTATAGTGTCATTAGTAATTAAACCAAAATACCACTAACTACAACACTTAAAAAAAAAAAAAACTTAATATCATTTGATTATATTTATATAATATAAAAATTAAAAAATCAAAGATATTCATTCAATTTATATATATGTATGTAAAATGTCTTTTCAAAAGACTTATATAAATTACGTATTAAATTATATATATGGGAAATTTTTTTTTTTTTTTTTTTTTTTTTTTTTTTTTTTTGTGAAATGGCAATTAAATATATATATATATATATATATATATATATATATATATATAAATGTATTTTATTTATACAATTAAAAATATATTGAATATACAAATTTCATATCATATGTACACACTGCAAAATAATGTATTTTATTTATACAATTAAAAATATATTGAATATACAAATTTCATATCAGATATACACACTGCAATATATATATATATATATATATATATATATATATATATATATATATATAATATCAGATTGGAATGGACATCAATTTTGTAGGTATATAGTAAATCGCTTTCTCCCATAGAGTGTTAAAATTGATTTTATTTACCGACATTTTGGTTAGTTCTTTATTTGTTTTCTTTCCCTTCCATCGAGGTCATGACATAATACTATATATATATTATTTGACTGAGAATTTGGTAATGGTTATAAATTGAAATTAATATATATATATATGAGTTAGAATTGAACCAATTGAATTAAACCAATTGAGGTTAATAATGTATAGGTAGAAATTAAAATGAGAAGTCTACGCGGCTTGTCAACAAAGTTGGCCCCCCAATGCCCGAGATTAGTGATATTTATAGGAAAATACTTCTTGCATCAAATAATTATAATAAATTATTAAATTTATTTTTTTAATTGATCAATTATATAATAAATAAATAAGTGAAGCACTTCGGAATGAATTGCTTGGCATGAGTGTACTCATTTATAAAATGATGACCTCATTCGTGACTTCATCAATTACGTTTGTGTTTTCGTGAAACACGTTGACAAAAGTGAATGCCACCCATGTGTTTTTTTTCTTTTTCATTTGAAAGGAAAGTTGTGAGTCTTGTGGCTGAGATTTTTTATTTATTTATTTATCTTTTAAGGATAATGGAGAGCTGTATAGCCGAAAAAAATTTGTTTTGTGGGTTGAATTTAGAAATTTGTGAGAAAATATTTTAAATTAAAATAATAAACGCAAAAAGCAGGGTCATTTGTTGTTGTTGTTGTTTTTTTATTTTTTATTTTTTATTTTTATTTTTTTTTATGTACATTTATAATTATTTATCACTAGGACTGCAATTAGTCAACTATTGATATTTGTTCACATTGATTTGATTGTTATACATTGAGAGAACTGTCTTCACACTTTTCGTTTACGAAAGGGAGTTGTGACTTGTGACTACTTTCCTTTGATTAAAGGAAATGAAAAGAGGGTGAAAGTATCTATCCTATTTTATTTTTTTTATTCATCCAAAATTAGAAAGAATAAGAGAGAAAAAAAAAAATACTATAAACAAGTAATTTCTACTTTTAATCTTTTAAAAATTTTAAAATAAATATCTAATTTTATAATTTCCAACAAAATAAAAAATGTCACCCTATCTATTCATTCCATCCATTTGTCCTCCATCCAATCAACCAGAACATAATAATCTCGTAAGAAAAATTAACTCAGTCAACAGTCGATTGTTGTTAAAAGAAATTGTCCATTCATCACACACAACAGAAGTATCATCAAATCACATAAACACATTTAGACATATTATAATATTTTACATTATTCACTCAACTATATGATTACGTCAATTGAGAAAGGTCTTACTATCGAAAAAGAGAAGGTATAGTTAGATGTCAAAATCACACTCACTCATTACATGACTATAGTATTTTGTTTATGCCAAAATTCTACTAGCATGAATTTGAACCACAAAACCCAACAAGCCCTTGGTTGAAATAACTATGAAACCGAATGAAATGCAGCAACTCTCTATTTTACCTTTGAAAATAGGATATATTGTTCAGATTTGATTCAACAAAATCATTCAATCCATATCCTAGTACTATCTGTTTTTCAACTTCTTATTCTCTTTTATTAATTTTTTTTTATCGATCATTGAATTTCTGACAAATCATATATATATATATGTGTGTGTGTGTGTGTGTGTGTGTGGA